TGTTGACTCCTCTAGGTTTCAATGTGGAGAAAGTTCAATATAAGAATGTGATATTCACAGTTTGAGATGTTGGTGGACGAGAGAAACTAAGGCCTCTCTGGAGGCACTACTTTAACAACACAGATGGACTGACAATAATTAGAATTTCACAGCTTTTGCCAAAACTGAAAGATTTAATTAGTTAAATAATGGGTAATTGGGCACGTTATTTAAGTTTGCAATTTTTAAGAAAGGAGTATGCAGCAAAGCGTGGTACTTGATTAATTATATATATGTACCTATTTTGTAGAGCCATGCCTCTATTATCCGCAGCTTCTTTTAAGATATCTTTGTAGCATGTCCATTTTAGATTTGAAGCTCTCTTCATGTTTGACAAATGCTTTTGCATAACTCTCTGTTTGCTTAATGACTTAGTTGGATCGACATTCAACTCAATTCTAAACAAAAAAAATTAAAATTTAAAAACAAAAAAAAAAAGATTTAATAAAAATATAATTAAAAAAATAAAAATATGTAAAATAGATGAAAGGTAGGATGCCACATCCATACCATCTCCTTCTTTCATTCTCTATAAAATTAATATATTAAATTTTAAGAAAACAAAACTTGAAAGTAATAAATGCAATAAAAAATATTCGATCTCAAACGTCAGACTTAGACCTTTGCCTTTTTTTTTTTTTTCAATATTTCTTTAATCTTTGCTTTTCTTTTTCTTGACACAAGCATGACTTATCATTTTCAAATAAGTGGGAACCAAATACTTTTTCTAGTCTCTTATTCAGCACCAATTTATTCGGAAAATAAAATCAAGCGAAGCGGGTGAATCCCTCCACCAGATCACAACTGAAAGAAGCAAATTGAAACAAATTTATTTTCCGGATATCCACCTTTGTTGAAAAATATAACTATATTGGACTTTTAATTCCTCCTTTTCTCAGTTTTACCAACTACCAACTATACTTTTCTATAATCATTAATTATTAATAGTTGACACTTTGTCGATAAGATTTTTTTTTTCCAACCATATGATCTTGATTGTGTTCATATATGTTGGATCAAGAAACATCCATCTAATGTAGGGACTGCCTCAATGCAGTGAAAGAAATGCAAAAGATCATGTATGGAAGCCAAAAGATCAAATCATCCACATATATCCTAGGAAATGAACAACACAGCTATTGGCAAAATGAAATTGATTTTCCTTTCAATGATCATTGTATTGGTTCTTATATTTACATGGTGTACATGCAAATTTCGAGTATAAAAATAAGATAAAAAAAAATTGAAATCAAATAATAATTTTGAAAATGTAAAATACAACCTTTCAAAAATTTTAAATAAAAATCTTTTGATTCTTTTCTTTTGCATAACTTTGCGAGTTTGATGGTTTGTTTTTAAATGGAATAAATTAATTTGGATTGTTTTTAATAGAACAAATTTTAATTTTCACAAATTTAGGGATTGATTTATTGAAATTCTTGGAATTTTATCCCAAAATTTAGAATTCTTCAAAGTCTTGAAATTTGGATTTAAGCATTCTTGAATATCTTAAAAATTAGCTTAAAATCTTGGAATTGATTTCTTGAACATTCAAATTTTTCTGAAAAGTTTGATTTTTAAAATTTTTTTCTTAGCTTAAAATCTTGTACTATTGTTTGCTTCGGTTTTCAAGGTCACGATATCCTTTTTCATATCTCTAACTATTTGATGCATCATTAACTCTTTTTTGTTAACAATTACGATATAAGATTTTCAATTTCAATTTTTTTTTATAACAATCACAACCATCTAAAATGATCTCTATCCTTCCCGATGAACAAATAAACTTTCAAAATTTCAAGTATTCCAATGTCGAAAACCCAAAATCAAACTTTTTTCCATCCTTTTTCATCTTCCTTTTTTTTTTTTTTTCTTTGTTTAGACTTTTAGAAAATATCACTAAAAAGTCCAGATCAAAGTTTTCGGCTTAAAACCCCTAAAAATCCTACCTTCACCACTTCAAACGTTCACACTGTGTTTGAAGCCAAATCCTACCCAAAACCTAAAGTCCAAGAAAATTTTTTTATATTTATTGCGTTGAATTGCTAATTTCGGTTAAAATAATGCTGTTTTTATGTGGAATTAATCCCAATTCATAAAGTAGTCTTTTTTTCTGATTGAAATTTTAATTCTGAATTTGTTTATGAAAATATAACCTATTCAATACCTTTATAAAGAATATTTTGTCTTCCAAAGAAATTTCAGTCCTTATCAATTTCGATTTCTCTCCAAAATTTTTTTATTTTTTAATTTCCATAAATAAATAAAAATAAAAATATTTGAAAGAAAATAAAAGAAAGAGAAAGAGAATTGGACACTAGTATTGTGTTTAAGATTCAAACCAAGTTCAAAATCCAATTAGCCTCTTAATCTTTGCTGCTATTAATCTATGCTGATCCCGACGTACAGGCCAAAAAGGAGGACTATAGTTTGAAACTTTAGAATAACTTCAATGTCTTGGATGTTATACTAACTTTTGCATAACATGTAAGACAGTAAAATACACCTCTTACTAACCTAAAAAAGGGAGGATCCATCAGAAGCCAACAGCAGCGGATGAAATTACAAGAATGCATTTTCAACACTAAAATATCCAAGGGACATTTTTTTTTTACACATGAATGCTTAGATGGACATTTTTTTTTGACACATGGACAATACCTATTATATGTGATTTAAATTTAAATATCAAAATTTCTAAAAATGAAGTCTTACCCAACTTATTTATAATTAAATCTGTATGATTTTTCTTAAAAATAAAAAATCTCAATAAGTTGTAATAAAAATATAAAACTTAAAAATATTAATCTTATTTGATTAAAATTTCACCTATAGATATCTTTTTTTTTAAAAAAATATATTTAAAATTTTCAAATGGATATTTTTACTTCGGTAACTTTCTTTATAATCCTTTAGTCTTTTTTTTTTCAATTCAAAAACAAAAAATATCACTTACTATATATATTTTAGATTCAAAAGTTATTTATAATCAAGTTATTATGATTTGATGTCTTAATTATAATATATATGTATTATATATTTTAAATATATGAGTGATTGAATAGTATTAATTTATATTTTTATACATATTTAAATAAATAAAGATAATCCGTACATTGTACAAGTAGCAAGTTAGTTTTCTATAAAAACAACATAATTTTAACCACAATCAGCAATTTAACACATTAAACACAATAAAATTTTCTTAGGTTTTAGGTTTTGGGTAAGGTTTGGCTTTAAACTAAGATTGTTAATATCTAAAATCATAATATTTTGATTTTTAAAAAATGGTATAAACCTATATCAATTATTTTAATACATTATTTCAAAATTTTCAATTTATTACAAATATATTTATAAATATACATGAATTTATGTATAATAATACTATTAATAATATGCAAAATAAATATACAATATTTTCAAAAATCAAATAAATAAATTTAAAAGTATAACAAATAATATTATCAATTTATCATGATATTTTTAAACATTTAATTTGATTATATATATTTAAATAAGAAATTTTCTTTTTATGTAGAAATATATTAAGATAAAAACAAAAAGATAAAAAAAAAGAAGTTAATTTTAGCTTTAAGATTTTTAAATTTTAAAAATGGAGCACAATTGTTTTCTTGAAAGAGATTAAAATTCTTATAAACTTTAGTTTGGAAAAATAATGTGTAAAAAAATAAGTTACATAAAAAATAGAGAAATTAACTTTCAAAAATTATTTTATTTATTAGTTTTATTTTTATTTGATTAAAAATAGTCAAATAACAAAATATAAGTAAAAAATTATAAAACATATTTTATATTTGCATACTGATCGAAATAAACTATTATATTGAAATTCACTGAAATCAACTAAAATCAACAAAAACAATTGATATTACTCAATTTATAAGATTTTCAAGAATACTTAAATCCAAATTTCAAGACTTTTAAGTATTCTAAATTTTGGGATCAAATTTCAATAAGTCAATCTCTAAATTTTGAGGAAAATAAAATTTGTTCTATTAAAAAAATCCAAAGTAATTTATCCAATTTAAAGACACGTCATCAAAATCGGAAAAAAAAAAGAATCAAAAGATTTTTCTATTTAAAATTTTTGAAAGGTTGTATTTTACATTTTTTAAAATTATAATTTGATTTCAATCCTTTTTTATCTTATTTTCATACTCGAAATTTGCATGTACACCATATAAACGTAAGAACCAATACAATTATCATTGAAAGGAAAATCAATTTTATTTTGCCAATAGCTGTGTTGTTTATTTCCTAAGATATATGTGGATGATTTGATCTCTTGGATTCCATACTTGGTCTTTTGCGTTTCTTTCACCGCATAGAGGTAGTCCCTACATTAGATGCATGTTTCTTAATCCAACATATAAATACAATCAAGATATTCTGGTCGGAAAAAAAATATTTTATTGACAAAATGTCATCTATTAATAATTAATGATTCTAGAAAAATATAGTTGGTAGTTGGTAAAACTAAGAAAAGGAGGAATTAAAAGTCCACGATAGTTATATTTTTTCCAACAAAGGTGAACATCCGGAAAATAAATTTGTTTCAATTTTCTTCTTCCAGTTGTGGTATGGTGGAGGGATTGACCCGCTTTGCTTGATTTTCTTTTTCGTATAAACTGGTGTGGAGTAAGAGACTAGAAAAAGTATTTGGATCCCACTTATTTGAAAATGACAAGTCATGTTAATATCAAGAAAAGAAAAGCAAAGTCATGGTCTGAGATTAATAGAATATTGAAAAAAAGGGCAAAAGTCTAGGTCTGACGTCTAAGATTGGAAATTTTTTATTTCATTTATTGCTTTCAAGTTTTGTTTCCTTAAAATATTAATAAAGAGTTTAAAAAATAAGAATATACTAAGACTTTGTTATATATAAATATAATAAGATTTCATTTTCTTATAACATTGTTCCCTTTGATAACATATAGTTAAGTTGTTTTACGTTCTTTCAGGTGCCTCACACGCCAATTAATCTTGATTCTCTTTAGGACTTTTTTCAATTAATCTTGATTCTCTTTAGGACTTTTTTCAATGGCTGTTTCGATGGTTCGTGAAGTCTCTACCTCAATTTCTCGATGTGTTTATCATGTATTCTTGAGTTTTAGAGGTATAGATACGCGTAAGAACTTCGTAGATCATCTTTATATGGCATTGGTGCAAGCAGGGATTCATACATTTAGAGATGATGAGAAGATCGAGAAAGGGAAGAATATAAAGGATGAAATTGAAAAGGTAATTTTATATGAGTCAAAAATTTCTATTATTGTCTTCTCAAAGAATTATGCTACGTCAACATGGTGCCTTAACGAACTTGTAAAGATACTGGAACATAGAAAATCCTCTCAACACATTGTTTTGCCTATTTTCTATGATGTCGATCCAACCCAAGTCAAGAAGCAAACAGGGAGTTATGCAGAAGCGTTTGCTAGGCATGAAGAGAGCTTCAAATCTGATATGGATATGGTACAAAGATGGAGGGTTGCTTTAAAAGAAGTTGCAGATTTAGGAGGCATGGTTCTACAAGATAGGTACATATATATATATAGAGTAGGGATTACTTCCATTAATGTAAGTCTTATACCTTTTTTATTTTTAGATTAAAATTCAGAAATAATATTTTTAATTTTAACTATTTGATCCAATTATAAAAAGTAAGAGCTATACTTAGATCTTTTCTCATATATATGTGTGTGTGTATATATATATATATATATATTAAATACAATTTTGTGTTAAAATTTTTATGATTTTACCAATTAACTAGTATGATGTCTTTAAATTTTTAGTATAGTATAGATTGTTTAATATAATTAATCATTTTTATCTCACATTTTAAAATTATTTATGCTTACTATTCCAAGCAGGTAGCATAGTATTCATGTGTAAAATTTAACCAATAATTTCTCGCTAAAATTTTCCCCTTAAATTTAAACTAAAAAAAACTAATTTTTGATTGGTCAAGCATTTTACCGAGCCTACATCCCACCATACTTCTCACTACAGCCAAATATTTTTTTTCAATTGAAAGTATATAAGAACCACCCAGCTCCTCTTCATCTTCCAAAATCTTACTGTCTCAACTCAAACTTTTTGATGTCTTTCTGTCAATTCCTTTTTCCTATAATTCCCACAAACAATCCGGTAGCCATGGTAGCCAACCAGCTTCCATGCTTCCACCCTCCTCTAACCGTCCAACCAATCCATGCCATGGCTTATTTGATTTCTTCTTCAATCTAACCACTACAACCCCAAAACTATGCCCATAGAGTGCTCATAGATGGGTTTTTGAATTTTAGAGTTCAAAGCCAAATCTCTCAAGGTCCCAGTTCTTTTTAAGTCCTATAAAAGATAAATTTGCAGAAATTTAAACAAGGGAAAAGGTAATTTTTAAGCTTTTTCTGCGCTATTATTTTTCCTTTCTATAATTTCTTCATTGACTATTAATTAAGAGCTGAAATTTTATTTTTTTTCTGATTGCTGTAAATCTAGGCTTTCTTTTTTTCAATTGAAAAAAGTTATAATGACTAAGGACAAAGATGTAATTTTATTGAAACCAACAAATTTCTTATATTTTTACAAGGAAAAGATTCTAAAACTTTTAAATTTGAAGTTCATATCTCATCTTATGTAATTTTCATTAAAATTTATGTTGTTTTGTTGATTTATTTAGTTTGCTTATTAATTTTTTAATGTAATAGCTTTACGTATATGTTGAATAATGTTGCATTAGATTGTAATTTTTATTTGAACATGTAATCTCATGAAAAGCTAAAATTATGCAAGAAAAAGACAAACATGTTATTGATTTTTACTCAATTTTCAAGATTTGACTTGTTTAGTTATATTTTGATATATTTAACGGTTTATCTTTTAAATTTTGTAGGCATGAGTCACAATTCATTCAAGATATTGTTAAGCAGGTTAAAGATAAACTTCATCGCACTGCCTTATATGTCCCCCCTTATTTAGTTGGGATAGATTCTCTTATGACATGCATTAATCGGTGGATTGAAGAAGATGGATCACATAACATTGGGATTGCAACAATTTGGGGAATTGGAGGGATTGGGAAGACAACCATTGCCAAAGTTGTTTACAATCAAAACATCCAAAGATTTGAAGGTTATAGTTTCCTTGCTTATGTTAGAGAAACAACTCAAGAGTGTAATGGCTTGGTTCGGTTGCAAAGACAACTTATTTCAGATATCCTTAAGGGGAAAGTAAAAAAAATCTACAATGCAGATGATGGAATTCTTAAGATCAAAGAAGCTGTATGTTGCAGAAGAGTTCTTATTATTTTTGATGATGTCGATGATTTGGAAAACATAACTAAAATAATTGGAATGCAAATACCTTTTTTTCCGGGAAGTAAAATCATCCTAACTAGTAGGCATCGACATCTGCTAAGTGGTCCTTTTATTACCAAGATGTTTGATTTGGAAGAATCGTCTCGTTATGGAAACTTATGCAAAGTGTTTGAAGTAAAAGAATTAGCTTTCAATGAATCACTTCAACTTTTTAACTGGCATGCCTTTGGTCACAACTCTATAACTGGGAGTTTTATGGAGTATGCAAGTAATATAGTCAACTACTGTGGTGGGCTTCCATTAGCTCTTCAAGTTTTGGGTTCTTCTCTCTCTGGTAAAAGTATAAGTGTATGGAAAAGTGCATTGGAGAAATTGGAAACAATCCCTGATAGCAGGATTCAAAAGATTCTAAGAGTAAGCTATGATTCACTTCAAGACGATCATGATAAAAATTTATTCCTTGACATAGCTTGTTTATTCAATGGGAAGGATAAAGATTATACAACTACAATTCTAGATGGTTGTGGTTTCTATACAACAGTTGGAATTGAAAATCTCATAAGCAGGTCCCTCTTAATTGTTAATGAAAAAAACAAGCTAATGATGCATCAAATGGTTAGAGATATGGGAAAGGAAATTATTCGCCAAGAATCTCTTGATCCTGGAAAACGAAGTAGATTGTGGGACAAGGACGCACTCGATGTATTAACAGAATTAATTGTAAGAGACTTTATTTTAATATTTTTTCTTCTTGTTTCTTATATGTATGTTTCTAACTTTTGTCATACAACTATTTTTTTCAATTTTTTTTTTAAGAAAATCTTTCTAATCCAGGGTTCCAAAACAATTAAGTGTCTTATTGTTGACCTACAAGGATTGCTAGAACACAAGTCTAGAAGGACAACTGCAAGTATACATTTTGCAAAGCATTCCAAAAATCGATTTGTCATGTCAAATGAGGTTTATATAGAAATTGATGCATTTGCAAAGATGCAGAGACTGAAACTACTTCAGCTAGATTATGTAAAACTTAAAGGAGACTTCAAAGACTTCCCCAAAGGCTTAATATGGTTGCGATGTCATGGCTTTCCTCTACAATCTCTTCCAACGGATTTTGATATTAAGAGGCTTGTTGTTCTTGACATGCGCAACAGTAGCCTAAAACATGTTTGG